CTCAGCAATTTAGCAAAGGCCCTAAGTAACTCAGTGAGACACTGTTTTAAAATAAAAATTAAAGATAACTGGGGATGTAGCTCAGTGGTAAATGCTCCCCAGAGTTCAATCCACAGTACAAAAAAAAAAAGAATATGTTAGTAAAATCTCTGTAGTTTTTCTATCTGTGGTTTTTCTATTTCCACTAAATTCCTTCCATTGTAGCTCCTGAAACTAGCATAAAAATTGCTTAACTAGATTTGGCAATATCTCTAGTAATCCAGCCTGAAAAATAAACTTGTCTTTAAGTATAAATTAATTGTGTTTTTTGTTGTTGTTGTCGTCGTTTTTTTTTTTTTTTACCAGGTATTGGAACTCAGGGGCACTCGACACTGAGCCACATCCTCCTCTTTTTGGTGTTTTGTTTAGAGACAGGATCTCACTGAGTTGCTTAGGGCCTCGATAAATTGCTGAGGCTGGCTTTGAACTCATAATCCCCCTGCCTCAGCCTCCTGAGTTGCTGGGTTTATAGGCACGCACCACTGTGCCCTGTTATAAAATTAAATTTGGGGGGATTGAGGGGAGCCAAGATTTAAACTCAGGGACATCAACCACTGAGCCACATCCCCAGCTCTATTTTGTATTTTATTTAGAGACAGAGTCTCACTAAGTTGCTTAGGGCCTCACTGTTGCTGAGGCTGGCTTTGAATTCGAAATCCTCCTGTCTCATCCTCTGAAGATGCTGGGATTACAGGCTGTGCCACACACCTGGCTTATAAATTAATTTTGTAGTGAATTAAAAAAAATTGGAAGGAAGGGCTATGACCCCCATTCGAAGTCATCATTGGGGAAGCCAGGCTGTCGTAGAAGTGGAGTGGGGAGGGATGTGGATCTCTCGCCATCCCTGAGACCCTCAGTTGTGGCAAGCCAAGTCTGGAAGGTAATATTTAGAAAATGACCAAACAAACACCTCCTGGTGCAGATCCTAAGCAATTAATTGGAAAGGACTGGAACAGTACGGGAAATTGGGTCACAAGCTGTTTAGTCACTCTCACCTTGCAAACTAGGATTTGGAGTGGATCAGTTACGAGATGTCAATCTAGAAACATACTGGCAATCAGATGGGTCCCAGCTTCATTTAGTGAACATCCAGTTCAGCAACTTGAATTGGTAGAACCAAGTGGCTGGATTCATGTTCCCTTAACTGATAATCATAAAAAGCCAACTCGAACATTCATGATACAGATTGCTGTTCTAGCCAGTCACCAAAATGGGAGAGATACCCACATGAACAAATTAAAATATACACACCAGTAGAAGAGAGCTCTTTTGGTAAATTTCCTAGATATATAACTGTCTATTTCATGATGTTTGGATCAATAAGGTGACTTTAAATAGGAGCAAAACTGATGAATCCTTTGTTTTCTTCTGTTATTACATTTTATGTTGGATATCTTTATTGAAAAATGCATCAGTTATTTTACAATTTTATATACACTTAAAAGTATTTTAACTTTGATAAATAAATTTTGGGTCATATTGAAAAAAATGAAATTGAGGCTGGGGATGTGGCTCAAGCTGTAGCACGCTCGCCTGGCATGCATGCGGCCTGGGTTCGATCCTCAGCACCACATACGAACAAAGATGTTGTGTCCACCGAAACTAAAAAAATAAATATTAAAAAAGAAAAAAAATGAAATTGATTTTTTTGTTGTTGTTCTGTTTCCTTTTTTATTTCCTGCAATATTTTAACAATGACAAACAGATCTCCATAGGTTCTTTATTTTTTTTAATGTTGTATCTTGAATTGTAGTATGTAGAGACTGTTGGAAACAGGATAAAATAGAATCTTCAAAACAACTCAGAAAACAAGTACCAACAACTTTTTGTCTCAACAGCTATTAAGAGCCAAGCCTGATTTTTTTTTTTCACATTCTAAAATCACGTTGATTTTTTTAGTTCAGAAAATGAATTTTATCTCTGTGATTTGGCATTCTTGTGGGACAAGGGCAGAAATTAGTGGGGTGGATAAGGGAGGGAGTGGCCTGCAAAGAAAGATGCAAATAATCAAGATTGTTTCTCTATTTCTATTTTCTATTCTATATTTTCTTTTGTGTAGCTGAAATTCAGGTGGTCACATTAGAAAATTTTAGAACATCAGTAGAATATCTTGTTCTTTGGTATGCATATTTTTAGGATTTTGCTGAAGAATTCATCCCACCAGACAAGTTGTCACTAGGTTGTGTCAGAATAACCCTGCTCTGTACAAAAGTTAACTAATGTGAGCTTATGGAGAGGAGTGAGTGCGCCCACTACCTCATTCACCACATTCACTTAGCTACCTTGCAGAGGACCTGTGGCCTCCCTACTGCCCCAACCTTTTTGTTTCTCAATCTTTACCATATGCTGTTAATTCATCACCTGTCCTAAACCTGAAAATCATGGGAAGAAAAGCCTAGTATAGCAGGTGATGAATTTGCTGTCTTTCAAGGAGACTTTTAATTTCTACATGCTTGTATCGGTTATCTTCAGTTGAAGAACTTTTCTTCTGTCACTTGATTTAATAAGCTGTTTGGATTTGGGATTTAGTAGTTTGTGTGCTGTGTCTCTTTGTGCACACTTATAGCATTATTTAATCTCAATTCTTTTACTTTGTTGTTATTGGTACTGGGGATTGAACTCAGGGGCACTTGACCACTGAGCCATGTCCCCAGCCCTATTTTGTGTTTATTTCATTTAGAGACAGGGTCTCACTGAGTTGCTTAGCACATCACTTTGAGGCTGGCTCAGCCTTCTGAGGATCAAACTTAGGGCAAACACTCTTCTGGTGAACTGTATCTCCAGCCCCAGCTGTCCATTTTGGATGAACACAGATTTGGACACCTTTGTTGTCTTAGCTTCCCTTTTCTGTTAACATCAGTGTGCAGATGTATTGCAATGTCTTACCAACATACTATGGTGAACTCGTATAGGGGAAAATGAATAAACCTTTTCAAAGCTCTGTAATGACTTGCATGAGTGGGTGAAGATTCTGACTTATGGTATTTCTTTTTCTGTTTTTCTGCAGTGGAAGTCAGACAAGTTTTGTGCATCTATGCATAGACTAACCATGAGCATTATGTAATTCACATAGTTCTATATTTCCCATGTTAATCTAACTTGAGTCTCCTTATCATCCACTAGGTGATGAAGGTGGAGAATCAGAACTTCTTGGAGAAGATCTTCCACTTGAACCATCTGTCACCAAAGCAGAAAGAAGTCACTTGATAGTATGGCAAGTGATGTATGGCAGTGAGTGAGCCCATAGGATACAGGTGGAGATAGGGACATGTCTCTTCTGCATGGTTTATTTTTCCTTTTCCCCTTTATTTAATGCTTTTTTTTTTTTTTTTTTTTTTTTGGTGAAGTAAGTTTCACCACATAATATGTGAGCATTTTTTCCTGTTAACTTTATATTACAAAAATCTGTCCTGCCGTAACAATACAAAGGAACTAGCTGTTTTACTGCACCAGTGTTATAGGCAATTTCAGTATATTATGAACAAATCAAAGAATTACTTTCTTTAAACTGGTGAATTACAGAAAGCAATCCAGATGTGGTTTTTTCTGCCACAGTCTAATGTCACTCACTTCATTTGATGGGGTCACTTTTTAGCTGTCACTAATAATGGAATTATTGGAAAACACTTGATAAATGAAACTGTACCATTAAGTACTATAACAGAGTTTTCCCCGGTGTATATAAAATTGACACACACTACTATCAGATGGAGTATCAGGATTTGTCTAACTGTCCCAAGAAGGCTAAAAGCTAACTGTAAATTAACTTTCACTTTTCAAGTCTGACAAATCTTGTTTATATGGTATATAAAACTTTGTTTCATCAGATTTTCAGGGGGTTTTATATTAAAGAAATTAAGACTACACTATTTAAATAAAAGTTTCCTGTTTCTGACTTATTAGAGCTCTAAAGTTTATGAGGCCTGCTTCTCTGAATATCCTGATTTTTTTTTTTTGAGACTAGTTTCTCTTGTTTTCAAACTGACACGTTTGAGAGGTTTATAATTTATAAAGCTTAGAAGAAGCTTTAGCCTTGTGTTTTGTATTCATCGTACCAGAGATGGTGGTGGTTAATTTGGGTTTTTTTCTGTATAAAATATCACCTATTTGCCACATGTTCTCCCTGGGCTGTTCTGACCTGTTAGAAGTAAAAGTGAAGTCGTGATGGAGGGTGATGGAGTCTGTCCTCACCAATTAAGTGAGGATTTTGTGTGTATATGTGTGTGTGTTCCTGAGGACCAAACCTAGGGCCTCGTGCATGCCAGTCAAGTATGCTTACCACTGAGCTACATCACTAGCCCATTGAATGAGAAATTTGACCAGGAGGGTTGTTTTCTTTTTTCTGTGTAAAACTACTAAATATTTGGTATTTTGGATGTAAGTAACATGTTTAAGCTTTTGCGCCCTTCTAAGCTCAAAATACTATCTTCAAAAAGGAAAACTATGAAGGGGAAGAAGACAAAGCTGATATACCATATATATATAAAGTCAAGGCTGATAATTACATCTTTTCAATTAACAGTGTCCATTTAAAAAATAGATTAGAATCTATATTTAACTGATTTTTTTCCCTTAGTAAGTTTTTTAAAACCATGATGCTTTAGGTTTTTCCCTCTCAAGCTTCTTGAAAATGTATGGTTTACCATTTCTTATTGTTACTCTAGGCAAAGTTAAATATAATTTTATGCTATTTTTAAAATGCAAACCTATTGGGGCTAGGGCTGAGGCTCAGTGGTAGAGCACTTGCCTAGCATGTGTGAGGCACTGGGTTTGAGCCTCAGCACCACATAAAAAATAAAGTTATTGTGTCCATCTACAACTAAAAAAAAAAAAAAAAAAAAATACAAACTTACGGGAAAAATGTTCCCCCGTCATTGTAAGGACTTCAAAGAAAAGAAAGCAAACACAGGTCTCCAATTGTCGAAGCATTCTTAGGTACCAGGGGTTTTTTGTTTTTTTGTTTTTTTTTTTCTTCTGAACTATTACACAAAGATATCTGTAAAAAGTATACCAGTGACTTTAACGCATATACATGATCTGGCTAGGACATAAAATACGTGGGATTTACTGAGCTTTGGAAGACCTTTGGATCCATTTGGCCACATGTGTCTATAAGCACACTGTATACACAATAAAACTGTGGCTGTGTATGTTTTAGAAGAAAAACCTATTTTAATAAAAGCTGTATGTAACACATAATTTTTTGCTTGAGCTTAGTCACTTAAGGAAACAAAATTTAGGCCACTTTTCCATAGCTTGTTTGCTATGTGTTTTTGTTTTAATCTTAGCCACTTTTGGCAATTCCTAAAAAAGCATTATTAAACCTTTGTTAGGAATGTTGTATAAATTCATAGAGACACCAAAGTGTTGGGAATTTTAATCCCAAGAGGTAAGCATCCCAGAGTCAGATGCCCCACTTGTTCAGAAGCCTTTCACACATTTGTATGATTGATGTAACTTAGGAAATCAGGAATTAACAATGAACTGTGCAAACGTGGTTGTAAATGCTCCCTTTAAACTTACCAGCTCTGACTTAAGGAATATAGGTGCGTAATCATTTTACCTAAAGATATCAGATTTTCTGTGGCCCTGTTAATTAATTTCAGGGACCAAAAAGGACAAAAATGCCTGTATAAAGACTTGTGCGTATATTTGTAATTTCAGTTAAACACTTTCTATAGATTACTTTCCTTCTTCTTTCCCCCAATAATAGGTTTATATTCTTGTAATGTCTACTTTGATCAAGGTGGTAGTCTTTTGAAGAAATGCCCAAATGTAAGCTTCTCAAAAGCAGTAGAAGGCTGTAGCTCCCAAATCCAGGACGGACAAGGATTGAGTGCCTTGGGTTGGTCTCTCCACATAGAAAATTTGCCCCTATTGAAAGAAATCAGGGGTACTAAGGATTCTCATTTTGTTACATTGGGTTATGTATGAAATTGAATCATATAAGGGACTGGGATTGTGGCTCAGCGGTAGAGCGATCGTCTAGCACATGCGAGGCCCTAGGTTCAATCCTTAGCACCACATAAAAATAAAACAAAGGTATTGTATCCAACTACTTTTAAAAAATAAATATTAAAAAAAAAAGAAGAAGAGGGCTGGGGATGTGGCTCAAGCGGTAGCGTGCTTGTCTGGCATGCGCGGGGTGCTGGGTTCGATCCTCAGCACCACATAAAAATAAAATAAAGTTGTTGTGTCCACCGAAAAATAAAAAATAAATATTAAAAAATTGTCAAAAAAAAGAAGAAATTGAATCATATGAAATTATCATTGTTTAGCCATAGCTGATCTATAGAAATGGCATCACTGTATGCCTCAATCTAATACTTATTAAGTCTAAGTTAAAATCTCCGTGAGGCAAAGGGAGAATATTTTCTATGGACTCAGTTTTGAGAGTATTTTTCTGTAACTTGTATGGATCTAAATTGTTAAAATAGGAATCAGTCTCTTAAAAATTGCAACTTGTTGAGAGTGTAAAACATTTTAGCACAGAATATTCAGCATGTGACTTTCCAGATGAAGTGTGTTTATGTAGAAAGCCAGGCTCAGTGGTGTACACCTGTAGTCCCAGCTACATAGGAAGTTGAAGCGGAAGGATCATAAGTTTGAGGGCAGCCTCAACAACTTAGTACGACCCTGTCTCAAAATGAAAAATAAAAGGACTGGGGGTATAGCTCAGTGGTAGAGCACTCCTGAGTTCAGTTTCTAATACCGCAAAACAAGAAAAAGAAAGGCTAAAATACATTCTCTTGAGCCAGGCATGGTGGCGCATGCCTATAGTCCTAGTGACTCAGGAGGCTGATACCAGAGGATTGCAAGGTTGAGGCCAGGCAATTTAACAAGGCCCTAAGAAACTTAATGAGATCTTGTCTCAATGAAAAAAAGGGGGGGAGACTGGGGATCTAGCTTAGTGGTTAAGCACCCCTGTGTTCAATCCCCAATACAAAAAAAAAAAAAAAAGATTCTCAGTTGCAATATTGTTCGTTTCTTCCTGCATTTGAGAAGAGAACTCTTGACATAGGCTGCCTTAGTAATGAAACATCTCATAATATTAATTGTCCTAAAGGATGTGTGTCTTGGAAATGCTGTGGAACTGAATATTTATTTTCTTGTGAGTATTATGACCTTTACCAAAGGACTCAACCAGAGTTAGGGCTTTTCTTTGCCCTATTTTTCCACCCCATGGTGCTGGGGTTGGAATCCAGGGCCTTGTGCATGCTGGGCAAGTGCTCTACCACCATGCTGCATTGCCTGTAGGGCTCTTCTTAATTGATCATGTTGAGAAAGTGACTTACTTGGTCTCACTTTGTGACAGGGGAAGAGGAGGAGAGAAGATGAAATGTGGAAGTCATCAATGCTTTTCTAACAGGGTTATGCTCTTCTGTAACACTAAATGTCTTTTTCTTAAATAATTAAGTTTTATTATTAATTTTGTCCTGCATTTCTCAATATTTGAATATATTTTAACAATATATGTTCTAAATTTGTTTTTTGTTCTAGACATCTTATCCAGAATTTTACTTGCCTCCATAAAGTGGGATTCTGGAGTGTCCCACTTGACTGTCTTAGAGGCTGAGGCTTTGTTTCTAAGAGCAAAATGCTCACTTAGCAATGTAGTTATTTCAGTATTTATTTCTATTATGGAATCCCTGGGGTTCGGAATGTAACTTTGTACATGAAATATATATAAATATGTATATGAAACATGTATGAGGTCCATTGTGTTTTGTTTCCTTTTTATTTTTCCCAGGGGTCTGAACTTGGGTTTTATTTGAAAGTCCAATAATCTCTCCATCAAACATATCATTTCTCAGGGTCCAGAATGTTGTCATTTGCTACTGTCTGAAGGTGAGCAGTGGGGTGAGCCGCTTGGCTCATGTGTTCAAATGAGATGTAGGTAATGGACAAGAGAACTGTCTAGAGATGTAGGAGTGGGGAGTGACAACCCACTCATGACACTAACATTTACCCTTTGCCAGATTACTCTGTGATCAGAGACAGGTTGTGCTGGGATTCTGATAATATGGTGTGCTTATTTGTGATCTCTTGCTTTGGAGAGACTCTGAGAGGAAGGATGATATAAAATTAATCCCATTCATCGCACTGGTCTTTAGTGTGATCCAGTGGATTTTGTGTGTCTTCATTGGGATTCTTGTGTGATAGTGAAAGTCTTCCCATTTGTCATGTTAATAGGACATTTCACCAGAAAAGGACACAGTTATCTGTCCAGTGAGGTGGGATGCTCTATAACATAACCAATAGCCTGACTCACTCCTTGACTTGGTAGGACMTTGACGCACCTGCCTCTTCCGTCCTCTAGAGCCTGCCAAGGCATTGTTTTGGAAATTGATTAGTCAGTCCTGTTGCATCCTGTTTAGCCATATTTTGATCCCTCTAGTAAGAGGTTAAAATGGCAACAGAAGACATTCATTTTGTTTTTTGTTGGGAACAGGGCAGGAGCCCCATGGTCATAACTGGAACTGTAGCCTATAGACCCCTGCCCAGTACCAGGGAGAGAACTGCCTCTCAGGCCTTAGTAGAGAGATTCTGCTTAAGTTACCAGCTCTTAAAGAGGCAGTAATCAATTTATTTATTAGTCCAAACACTAGCTCAATCCCTAACCCTTAAACTTAAACTACACTAACACTAACTCATGACCTAAACCTAAACCTAACCTTAACCCTATCCCAATTCTTAACCTTAACCCTATCCCTAACCCTAGCTCTGTTTGATAGATTTCTCAGACTGCCTTCATTTTAAACTGACCCCTTACCCCAGCCCCGCCCGTAGTGGGGATTGAACCCAGGGCCTCATGCATGCTACTAGGTAAAAGTAAGCTGCAGATCCACAGCCCCTTTTTAAATTTTATTTTTGAGACAGGATCTCACTGAGTTGTCCAGGCTGGCTTCGAACTTGCTTGGATTACAGTTATGCACTGTCACACCCATCTAAATCCATTTTTTTTTAAAGAGAGAGAGAGGAGAGAGATAATTTTTTTTTAATTTTTTTTTTTTAGAGAGAGAGAGAGAGAGAGAGAGATTTTTTAATATTTATTTTTTAGTATTCGGCAGACATGACATCTTTGTATGTGGTGCTGAGGATCGAACCCGGGCCGCACACATGCCAGGCGAGCGCACTACCGCTTGAGCCACATCTCCAGCCCCGAGAGAGAGAATTTTTTTTTTTTTTTTTTTAATATTTATTTTTTAGTTCTCCGCGGACACAACATCTTTGTTGGTATGTGGTGCTGAGGATCGAACCCGGGCCGCACGCATGCCAGGCAAGCACGCTACCACTTGAGCCACATCCCCAGCCCTAAATCCATTTTCTTTAGGGAGATAGAGCAAGGTAGTGGGAAAAAAAGCTGTGGGTCCAGGCTTTACCCCTACAGTGACTTTAGGCAGGTCACATTAACATAACATTTGGGAGTTTTTTGTGAGTTTTTTTTTTTTTTTTCCTTTTGTTTTTGTGGTGCTGGGGATCCAACTCAGGGTCTTGTGCATGCTAGGCAAGTGCTTTATCACTCACATCCTTGGATATGAATTCTCTTGTATTAAAGGGGAAGGTAGTTTAGTCAGGTGATCTAAGAAAAACCCTAGTTGTAACCCTCTGGTTTTGTGACCCTATTTCTGATTTTCCTTGCTTTATTGTCTTTACAGATAAAAACCATACCTTGCTTGCAGGTTCAGGGCTGCCCAATCTGCCATGAGGCCCAGGCAGCTGGTAGGTGGGATTTGATTACTAGAGTTTCCAATTTATCAGAACAACATTGTATAAAAGAAGCTAGATAGCTTAACTCCTTGCTTTTCACCATATTCAAGTAGTACAGTGGTTCCCACCCACAGACACAAAGGAGTTATGATTTGAATGGAGGCCCCAAAAGAGGGGTGGACAAAATAAACCTCTGCTCAGTGGAAATAGCAATTTAACTTAAAGCCGCAGTTCTTAGCTGAACCAGGAGAGGGAGGTATGACCAGAATCACCCCAGGAGCTGTTTGCAGAATACTTTTTTTTCCCTTCTTCCTCTCAGGAATATCAGACTACTGATATAGTTACCCAGCTGATTATTATCCTCCTATTGAGAACATCTGCTTAAAGGAACTCAAAGCAGGGCTGGGGATATAACTCAGTTGGTAGAGTGCTTGCCTTGCATGCATAATACTCTAGGGTTCAATCCCCAACACCACAGGAAAAAAGGAAGAAAAAAGAAAAAGGCAACTCAAAGCAGCTCAGCTGGATTCACAAACACTTGTTTTCCAGGAGCACACAGCTTCATTCATTTTTAGCCTGTTTTAACTTGAACATTGTGGCCTGCGAGCAGACTCACCCCAAGCCCAACATAATAGTCTTTCTTTTTTTGATTCATGGACAATTGAAGTTTAGGGTACTTTGAACCTACTGATACATTAAAAGCTTGAAGAGAATATTTCATCTCTCTTAAGCCTGAATTCACTTGGCAAGGCTATCTTCTGATGGTTTTTCATAGAAAAAAAAAGTACCTTTTACTTATCATGCTTCATTTTTATAACATCTAACAGTTTTTCCAAATATTTGGCCCAAAAATTCATAAGGTGATCTTCAGAGAAACCCTTTGGGGAGAATATTACCATTCCCAGGTAATTCAGGGGCCTGGACATCAGAAAGTCCTTGCCTGTTGGTAAACAAGTTTAGTTGAGAGTATCAGGTACCTCGCTGGTGCTATAACCAGATCAACTGAACACCAGGGCTACTTCAGGTGGGCAGAAAAGTGTTAGACTTCCACTCCAAGAGAACTGGGTTTAAGCCCTGGTCTAATGTTTCTTAGTTTTGTGACTCTTTGATAGTCACGTCACTCTTCAGTTTCTTTACTCTGAGGTGAGAGTAACATCCCAAAG